TATAGCTCGGGCCCAGGTCGCACTCTGCCGTCGGGGGCTTGGCCTTCGCAGAGATGTCCGGCATGCGCCTGCTGGTCATTGGGGTTCATGGGCCGACGCGTTTCTGGCCAGCGCTCGCAGAAACCGGCCGCTTGCCTCACAGCTCTCCCACCTCCTCGACGCAGACGCGGCCTAGCCAGCGCCACTGCAATCCCTGCTGGCGCTTGGCTTCGCTCCAGTGAACCTGACGCGCCCTCCAGCGCCCTGCTGGACTCACAGGCTGGACGACAGCAAGGCTCGTGCTAGAGATTCCGGTGTTGCGCGCTATCCTGGTGCGCCGGCTCCGATCGCCATTGCCTGTCACTGCAGCCCACTGGTGGTGCCGCCAGCGCCATGCCCAACATGGACATCACATTGCAGCCTGCCCACGCTCAAGCATAGAGGTCGCGTGGTGGTCTTCTTGAGCGAGTAACCGCTCGCGTCTGCCGCGAGGCACAGGCGGCAACGCCAGTGGAAGGAAAACACAGGAGGCTGGCGACGAGGAGAGCAGACCATTGTTGTGTGTGCGCGGGGATATGCGGAGATGCTGGCTGCGCGTGAGGAGGCGGGTCCGTTCCTGGCAAGGGCCGCGGCGAGGAGGCGGATGAAGCTGGCGGCTTCTGAGCTCCAGCGGCCACCAACTTCGAGGGCGAGGACTACGAGGCGAGCACGGGAAGCCCCGGCAAACTCAGGGTATGTCCTCTCCTTGGCCGGGCGGGCTTGCTGCAAAGCGGTCCCGCGGTGCGTCTCGCAGCGCGGCGCGGGACTCCTGCAGCAGTGAGGGGGGAGAGACGAAAGTGGTGTCGACAGCTAGCTGCACGCCCCCCACAACGGCAACCCGTTGGCAATGACCTCAATCCGCCGCCCATCTTGTTTGACAGGGTCGAGGTTGAGGTCTCCGACCAACATGTTGCGCGCAACGGCTCGAGCGTGTGGCCTGGACTTGGCTCTGCGCTGGGACCGTCTCGCATTACTGCAAAAAGGTCCGCCAAAAGACATCATCGTAAAAGACCTTGTGAGCTCAGCATCAAACTGGCGAATGTCAGCGTGGAACATGGCCTTGTGAGCAGCCGCGAAGCAGGCTACAGGGGTAACCACGGCCGCGAAAAGTAAAAGCCGCCATTTCAAGCAAACCGTGTGATCGCACAGACACGCCTTGTTTGACAAAAACAGCATGGAAGCAGCCCGTTCCGCACCCACACATGATGCTCTAGAGCCCCTGCTCGTATACATGCAACCCAACCATGCGTGTGACGCATCGGATGATAAGGTCTCCGGCGTAAGCGTCGTGGATGCGCCCGTGGGGGTGGCCATCAACCAACCTCCAGCTTGCGGTCTTGCCTGCCATCGCCACATGGCCCGCACGCCAGGGCCAGCAGCTCGCATCAGCACGCGCTCTCGAAACAGTTTGGTTCATGGGCGTGCGCATCCAAATCCGGCCGATCCAGCCGTTGACGTCGAGTTGCCCATCTGCCTGGACAGCTGCGCAAAATGTGCTGTGGGCGAAACAAAACGCAGTAGAAGGGTAGCCGCCACGCCGCTTGGGGATCCGGCGGGGAGCCAAGAACACGCAACAACCCCCCTTCGGCACGGAGGCGCTCCGTTATCCGCGCCGAGGTCCGCCATGTCGGGAGGGCATTCCATGATCAACCCGCGCTGTTCCCGATTGGCAGCTACGCCTGCTCTGCGCTCCGCCTCACCGGGGGCGAGGTCGCAAGCGGCGGCTGCGCGCGGTGGCGGCATAAAAGTTGTCGAAGAACACTGCGAGGGGCTCGCGTTCCTGTAGCTGGATTATTGCTGGGTACCGGCCGCCGCAAACGCATCATGCTGCCCGAGAGCGTAAACTGCGATGGGCTGTGGATCGCCTGGCCCGACAACCACAATAATAGAATGGGTTGGATGACTTGGCTTGGTGTTGTTCAGGTGTTGGTTTGCGTCCTAATTAGACCTTGTTCAACGCTGCGGGCAGCATCGTGGACATCATGTGCATTGCCCTCCAGCCCTGACGGCGCCTAACCTTGCCCCTCATGGCGGGGTGCGGCGGTGAAGGCCCAGGTTGCTTGATGCTATACGCCGGGTCCCTGTCCTGGAGCTGCGCAGGAGCTGTTGGGCCTGAAGAATGCGTGGTGCCGCAACAGTGGCTTGCCCAAACCACCGTCCGAGGGGTTACCGCCGACAACAGCAGGAGCTTCGACTTCATGGTGTACGGTGCTAGGACTTACAAGACAGCTGCCTGGTAGGAGGGCGCATAGGGTTGTAACGGTTGCGCAGGGATCGCGTTCGTAGAAAACTCCGTGGATTGAATGTAGCTGTTTAGTAGGAAAGAAGGAACACGTGGGCCAGGATACGGTGAACAAGCATGACGTGCTCAAGGCTTTCGGGGGTTGATTTGGATATGGAGCCAAATAGCAGCGCTGCGCAGTACCACCGTGAAGTTTCCAAAACATATCGTGCCGGGAAAATTGTAATCTATTTCTCCTGTTGCGCCCGTCGCGCCGGCACCTCTAGCTGCCAGCTACGCAGGGTGCAGTCGCGGCCTTGATAGGCCCCATCGTCCACGGCCCCACCTGTAGGGTCTCCAGAAAAGCACAGTGCAGCGCTGTTGTGGTGGAACAAACGAGCAGGTGTATTCCACCTCTTTACATACAATGAAAAAACACAACAAAATCGAACCAACCACACCTGTTCAGACGTGAGCTTATGTAGATTCAATGCTTCATGTGCCGAGGTGGTGATCTCCGAAGTCCTGGATGTGGAGGCTTTGGGTGTGCACACAACGCGAAGGTTGACTTTGATCCCTGATGCGTCCAGCTTAGGGCCGATGTCGTGCATGACGAACAATGCCGGACAGCTTGCGTGAGGACCCTATTGCGGAAGCTGACGCTTTGGCAGCACGTCTGGACCGAAGCCGCGGCTGTGCGGTCCCCAATTGTGTTTCCTTTTTTGCATGTTGTCGCTTTTCCTGGCAGAATGATTCATTTCTTGATTGGCATGTTCCGACATGTTGCCTCGTTCCTCAAGGTCATTAATGTGGAAGGTAGATAGATGGCATGCTGATTGCTATCTGTTCCGCGTTTGTCAGCCTCAGCGTATATGACATGTCACGCAGATGATGCAGGGGTATATACATCGAGCGATAGCTGATTTGTCAACGGAGCTTCAAAACAAAGACAACGTGGCCATGCAGTTTGAGCCAGAAGACGATGATGGGGCCGCCTCAAGGAGCGGACGGTTGAGCATAAAACATTCACATTCTCGGTTCGAGCGGATTTTGGGGATTTGGGGGCGATATCGGGTGGATGCGTGCTGTTGAGAATGCGTTGTTTCATTTTGTTCAGCCAGGGGGTTCAGCAAGTACATGCACTATTCATCGGTGGTTCCATTAAGATCGTTGTGCCCTGGCAGGGCGCGTCAAACCAGCATCGATGTTAGCGAGGGCAGCGTTCCCAGCCGAATTTGGAGAAAAGGCGCGCACGTTGTCATCGTGGTTGAGGCAACACGCAGGAAATGCATGCATTGAAGGTGTTCAATTGCAAGCATTCTTACCGTTTGTTGATGGATGTCAGGTCAAGCGGACGATGATCCGATGATAAGTTCCATGGATCCAGGGGCGTATTCGCGGCCCACCCAGTCCGTTCAACACGCCGAGGCCGTTCAACAGCGTTTGTGTCATCTCTGCGTTAATTTTTCTTCCCATGCCAAAAGTGTGGTAACGCAATGACAATAGGATTGCGTACTAAATCAGCCACGCGTTGTTGTGCAGCCGCAGTTATTTGCAACTCAGGGAACTTTTTGCCAGTGCTAGATTGTTGCAAATTCAGGTTCCAATGTTCCTCGCCAACACCGCCAGCCAAATGCCACGGCCATTGCTTTGTTCCAGTAAGGCGCTCAGCCACGTGTGCGGGCGATTCTTTTTCAGCGCATGCTAGGCAAGCGTCGCACGCAAAACTTTCCAAACAATCCTGTGGCCCAGCGGGAATTTTTCCCAAAATTGGAGGACCCCAACATGGATCCCAAAATGCCATAGGGATTTTCATTCTGGGGACCTCCCATACATTAGGAATGCCCTAAACCCTATTTGTAGGGGTACCATGCAAATGGCAAAATACAACCCTTTTCGAATTTGCTTCGGAACATCGCACGACCACAAAGTATCGCAGAGCCTACAAGTTCCCGAACTCTCTGTATACGGTTGGGGGTGCAAGAGTAAGCTCTAGGGTTTATAGGTTGGAGCTTGTCTGAAGCACCGGCCGCTCATGAAGACTTGCGTGCTACCGCTTCTTGCGCCTTGGTCTTGTGGAAGTCCTCGAAATTCCCGAAACACCCTGAATCCGAGAAACTTGAGAAACAAAGCTCATCAACATCCAATTTCCCAGGTTTGCTTGTTACTCTGATCTACTGGTTTCTCTTCGTGTGCCCAGGCTTCATTGGCCATGGAAAATGTTAGGACGGTTTTTCAGGGTCACGAGCATTCACTTCCTGGATGGTTTTTTCGCACGTAGTTCTTGGCACAAAGTCTCTCAGCATTTGTTCAATTAGGCCGGCAATTCAAAAACTGATGCTCAACATCTGTTCAGGCGTTGGCGCAGGGATTGCAGAGTTTGCTCATGTGATAAGGGGTGGAAGGTAGCCCGTAGGCCCCCCTCATCCGCACTGGGCTCTTTTGTGATCCGGGAAAAGATGGCTAAATTCTTTCACTTCACAAGCTTTGATCCGTCACTGGAAAAAAGGGGTAGACATGCCAAGATCTCAGGGACCAGCATGTCCTGTATCAACCAGGCAGGCCGAACCAAAGCAACTCCCAAAAGAAACCCCCGAAACCCGAACCACCAAAGCCTAGAAGCCTAAAACGTGTTCCACCATTTTCCGAGAGGAAACTTCTTCATGGGGCGTGATATAGGGGGGGGGGCTATAGGGGAACATTCCAAAGCTTCTGAAGAAGGATACTAGGACGTCAGACTATAGCTCATCTCGCTCCGAAGGTATTCTCAGGTGGTGCACCAGAACCTGGGCTCGCCATCAGCAATGTTTCCGGGTTGTGTTCGGATTCTATGATTGCTTAGGGACTATGTGGGGAGATCACGGTGATCTCCAAGGGTGTCCGCATTCAGAGTTTCTCACAGGAATTGTATGCAAAGCGATCAAACATTGAAGCAAAAAGTTCAGCAAATGTTCCTCACTAGGTGGGATTGTTAGGCCGGATTTTTCTACAACGCTAGCACTTTATCGCTTTCGGGTTTTCCTCCGTTTCAGACAAAAAGAAGATAAAAGGAGCTAAAAGTTGAACTTTGAGAACAGCAATTAAGTCAAACACAGGGACCCTTCTGACAGCTCTCTAAGATTTTTCCAATTTCTTCTATCTAGATAGTCTAGCATCCTGATAATGAGCTGAAATTAATATTTCCACCAAGGGGTCCACGGAGCTTAGAGTTTTCGCTGGCTTCCAACATCAACTGCTACCCCTCTTAAACCCTAAACCCTAAGCCCTAAGAGTTGCAGTCCGCTTTTCTTATAACAAATGCCGTAGGAGGAACCCCCACCCTGTAATAGTGGTATACTAGCAATACAAGAGGACCCAAGTGTAATCCTTTTCACTCCTTATAGTCACTATGACTGGGTGGGGGGTCCTCCTAACGTATCTAAACCCTAAACCCCTAAACCAATGCCTTTGATTACCGATGGTCATGCTAGCTTTTCTATAGGGGTTTTACGGTTTCAAAATTGGATTTAGTGTTTCAAAATCGGTTTTGGTTCAAAATTGGGTTTAGGGCTCCAAAATTGGGTTTAGGGTTGATAATGGTTCAAAATTGGAGTTAGGCTTCGAAAATTGGATTTAGGGTTTTAAAGGAAGGAAAAAGTGTCCAGGAATCCTTGTGGCAAGCATGACAGTATATCGAAACCTGAGAACAGGGGTACATGTGCAGGTTGTGTGAGGGTTACACGAATGCGGTTGCTATTAGCCCATCCCACCTCGTCGCAGACAGGCCCGTTAAGAAGCAATGAACCTCGTGTGTTGCCGGGAAGCTAAGGAACACCACCGTCAATTGGGAGATACGCGCTGCATTTAGGCTTCTTGGGACGTTGGAGTGCTGGATTCGGGGGGGTGGGAGTGTTCGGGCTTACGAGCCTCGAGCAGCTTGTAGATGAAACGTTTCTGTTTATCTGGCTAATTCGCGGGCATACGGTTGATGCGAACCATCCTGCATGCCCCAAACTACCTTTTACTTTGGGAAGTATGGAGTTATGATACACCAAAATCAGGCAGCGTTTTCAAATGACAGCAGTTGTGCAGGGCGTGTGGAAAGCGGCAGGAGCACGCGTGAAAGTTTCGAGTTTGCAGATCTGGCTGTGAGCACAATCATTGTGGGTCGCTTACTTTGAAAAAGAGTTGACGAAAGGTAGACTTCCGGTAGACCCTAAATCCCAAACCGTTGAGGGTGGCACTCAGGCACCACCTAAGGTTTACTATTACTCGAAGGCAACTTCTCGCACTCCTCGGAAAAATGTTGGAGCCGTACGAAGTGCTTGTAAACCTGCACGGCAACCGCCAAGCAAACACCCCAATATTACCCAACATAACCCCTAGAAAATCCAAAAATAACCCTATATGATATAGTTTCTGTTCTCTTTTCCATTATGCCTATAAAATACACGTCTACATCCCCCAGCTGATGAACAGGAACTTTGAGCAGGAGATGGATCGGAAGTCCAGCAAGCTCTTGGGCTTTGTACCCTAAAGTTTAGGTCTGAGGGTTTAGGGTTTGGGCAGGGTGTAGGGCTTAAGGTTTAGGTTTCAGGGCTTAGGGTTTTAGGGTTGAGGGATTTACTATAGTGTTTTTTCCCCGGCTTAGCGTTTAGGCCTGGGGCTTGGAGTCTAAGCGTTTAGGGGTGTCGGGGGTGTTTGCAGTCGGGACTAGATATCATGTTGCAAGCTTTAGGCGAGATGAATCCCCCTAGAAATCCTCGCCTCAGCTTGAATCAGAGCCTGAAATCCTATGGGCTCTGTTTTCCAGTAGGTGCACGAATGAGGCCGGAGTTCACAGGCGTCCAACGCCCAAGGGTGACTGCAATACAGTCTGGGCCAAGGAAATTTGTGGAGAAAGATGTGCTATAAGCTTAAAACCCTAAGCCCCGAATTAGGCATCCAGTAGCCCCTTTGCAGCAATACAGCAGTCTGCATTTTGAGGGTTTGGGAGTTTAGGGTACTTCAACTTGGAGTTGCTGTTTCCATTCCTTCATCTCCAACAAACACTTAGTATGATGACCCTTCACCCAAAGCACAATTCATTCCTCTAAAACCTTCAACTTCCATTTCATTTTTCCATTTTCCATGGGATTCGCCATACTTGGTGTCTATATCCCTAAGCCCTACATAATCCCAATAGCCCTATAGAACCCTATGGAATCCCTATATAGATTTTTGTTGGCTTGATACTTTCTACAAGAATTACACTCCTGCAGCAGAGGTTGAAAGGTGCCTCGTCAGATGACGAGAGTCCTGACGACATTGTCTTCAAGGACCTAAAAGTGCTCCAGTGAAGGTCTAGTTTGCACGAAAAGGGGGCCCCAGTATAGATCCCCTACAATCGCTTTTGTAGGGATCCCCAAAAAGCTGTTCCAAAATTTTGGGGAAATCCCAAATCTATGATTTGTCAATGCTACAGGCCCCCTGTTCTTGGGACCTTTTGCTCGCGCACACTTTGGGCCTCCTATATGCAGCATAAGTTGGGGCTACTGTGGGCACCCCCCAGTACGTGGACCCCCCAGAACTTAGGGTTTAGACCCTAATCCCAAAGTTAAGGGATTTAGATTTAAGCTTTCAACCGCTGAAGTGGCTTTGCCTAGACGCTGCTGCTTTGCTTTTGCTGTCATCGGGACCCTTCTGGCTCGTCAACTCCCAAATGTCAAGGCCAACGCTCTGCATCCCTGCCCTTCTGGATTTAAGGTTTAGGGTTTGGGACCCGTGCACCAAGACATGCTTGGATCAGGACTATTCAGAGATGTATGAGTGGATGCGCAACGGCTACATCCCCTTGCTTTGGGAAGAAGGCTGCGCAGCTTGGGTGTTGACAAATCCTCTCCCCTGCTTTCTGGGCATTCCCAACATAAAGCTATTCTACACTGGGGAAAAATATGTTTGAAGGGTGGGAGCGATTCTTACTGGCGGAGGGAGTTGAAAGGGACGCGAATCACAAGTCACACTATGGAGGTGGAGATGTCTTAGAGTAGGAGAAGAGGCTACTGCTCCCATTTTGGATACGACAATTCTACTTGACTGTAACCCCAAACCTAAAACCCTAAACCCTGAATCCTAAACACTAAACATATCCCTATAACAAACCCTTTAAAGGTACCAATAATTCTCAAGGTATGATGGGGCCATGGAGGATTCCCTTGCCGACCTGGGTTTAGGGTTTAAGGACTTGCACTCAAAGGTTCCAAACGAGTTTATGATAAGACCCTAACCTGAATTGGGTTCAACCCTAAGCCAAAAAGCCCTAGACCCTAAGGGCTCGAACCTTCACACTCTTCTGAAGTTGAGGGTTTAGGGTTAAAATACGACCCTGAAGAAAGAAAGGAACGTGACTAGGGGGGGCCTTCTTAGGGATTTTGTGGTAGGGTTTGGCAAAAACTCCAACATGCAACCTGAGGAAAACCTCTCATTTTTGATTGCGTGTAAGCCAGGTAGGATGAAACTCAGAGTTATAACCAGGTGATAGCCTATATCCTATGGTTACAGTGCGCCTTAAGTAGATAGAATATGGCTCTGGGTATATTATAATAAGATCCCCATATAACCCATAGTCTATCTACTTAAGGGGGATTGTAACTTTTTAGATAAGACTGGTGGTTCGTAGCATGCTTGTCTGAAACTCAGGCGGCTCAATTGAGAAATATGTCAAGCCTTGAAGCTCCTACACTCCAAGCTTGAAAGCCTTGACACTGATACCCTACATTCCAAGCTTGAAGCCCTAATGGTGTCTTGACCCCCCAGACCCCAAACTTCAAACGCCAGTCCGTAAAGCCTTGAAATCCCGCCACATGTACAAATCCTAGCCTCCAAACCTCCAAGCCCCCCTCCAAATCCTCAACCCTACACCTCTGGAACCTCCTCCAAACCTTACAAAGCCACATGCCCTAAAACCTCGAGGCCCTCAACGGCCCCAAACCCCAAACCCCCCCAACAGCCCCCAACCCTAAACCCCCAACCCTACCCCCGATCAGGTCCCCAAGGACGTGGGATGCTGGCCAGTCGAATCCGGCTAGTGGGTGGAGCTGCTTGGGCGGGTTTAGGGTTTAGCATGAAGGGTGCAGGGTGCAAGGCAAACGGTTTCAGGGTACTGAGTTTTGAATTTGAAGTATAGAATGGTATAGTATTGGTTATACTGTCATGCCATTGACAGAAGGCACCCCAGAATCTCATTCTAAATTGAGAATGCCAAAGCGCACACAAAAAATGGTCGACCTTCAGTATGGACATCCCCAAAAAGCTCTTGGAGAAGACGTTTTCTGTCCCTTGTAGACCTCATGCAATCTCTCTATATCCCTAGGGTCCCTACTGGCGTTGTGATGCCCAGATTGAAATCTGCGAACGTGGCGCTTGCCCAGCCATCCTCAAGTGTCCAGGGCAACCTCTGCTCCTAACAAAACACCCTATCCCATGAATGAAAATTCCTAACACTATATTACTTAAGAGCCGGTTTCTCCTCTCATAAGGACCCTCCGTCGGCGGATCTTGAGAATATCTATTTTGAGGGAGTGGGGGTTCAAATATTGGGGAAGACCTTGAATCTGAAACCCCAAACCCTAAGTCCTAAACCCTAAATCCTAAACCCTACTCCCCTTGTTTTCGTCGGAGGAAGTGGGGGCTCTCAAACTTGAGGAGGGGTGGATCATGAAACAGAATGTCAGGCCCTGGAAGAAGCAACTCTGATGTTCAGGGTTTAGGGTTTAGGGTTCAGCATCTCAAGTCCAAGCATTCATTCCAAGAGCAGCTGTCTTAAAGCATAGAAAAATATGCACCCGCCCATTGGGCCCCACAACACTTAAAACATCGTATCACCTCAACACACTTCCACTCATACAACCGACGCCCCTCCGCCACACGTGAACCCTTGAACCCGTAAACTCTAAACCCTTGAACCTTAACCCGTTTAGGGTATAGGGTTTAGGGATTAGGGTTTAGGGTGTAGGTTTAGAGTTTAGGGTTTAGGGCACCCAGTAGCAGTCTGCAATAGGGTTTACCTTTCGGGGGCTACAGTTTACCACGAGGTAACTATGATCTGTTTTTTGTAAGCTGGGGGCAATGCCCAACTAATGCTGATCATCTTGACTGTACTTGTCTGCGGATGGAAGCTACTAAGCCCTAAACCCTAAACCCTGAACCTTAAACCACAAACCCTGAAGCCTCAATGTGCGCCAGATCAAGCAGACTCTTCAAATCATATTTTGCCTGGCCTTCCTATGTACTCTTCATTCGATGATATGTATGGTTTAGGGTTTAGGGTTCTGCTAGGCCTGCTTATGACTTCCCACGAAGGGTCAAGCACCCTTCCCAAAGTTAGCACGGAATCTCAGATACATTCCACTTCAACGGGTTGGAGTCTGTCAAGGGGTCCCTGTTCATGTCACATTGGGGGGGTGATAACTCCAAACCCTAAACCTCAAACCCAAACCCTAAACCTCAAACCCCATACCCTAAACCTCAAACCCTAAGCCCTAAGCCCCAAACCTCAAACCCTAAACTCCAAACCCTCAACCCTACGCTGTAAACCTTAAACCCCAAACCCTACACCCAAAACCCTAAACCCCAAACCTACATTTCATTACCCTTTGGCCTGCGAGGTTCGTTTGGCCCGATCTCGGGCCCAGCCATTCGATTGCAGTGTGCCATGGCTTGGATACCTTACTCTTGCTTAGGGTCTAGGGTTTAGGGTGCAGGATTTCGGATTTAGAGTTTAGGGCAGGGGTTCTATAGGATACACGGGGATATATTACCCCGGTAATGGAGAATGGAACGTGGGGTTTGTGTAGGGGATATGTTGCTTACCCTGGTTTGCAGCGAATGAAGGAATGGAAAAGAAAATGGAAACTGCAACCCTGAACACTAGACCGTAAACCGCTTCATAGGGCCTCTAGAAGGATCATTTTCTCATTTCTTTCGAGCCAGACGCAAGTATCAGGATCGCACTGGGATTGCTACACAGATCCATTCTCCCATGCTCGCTAAACAAGGATAAGCTGGAACTGCTGGGTTGCTGTTAAGGAACTTAAATCAAGTTACTATATTCGGGAAACCCTTTTTATTTACTATATATACCCATTATGGTAACTTAATTTAAGTTCCTTAACAGCAACCTAGACTGCAGTCGCATTGACCTGCCATAGGATGCAGAGGCTTTCAGCCTCATACTGTATCTGTTATACGAGCGTTCCTCAAAATTGTCCCTATAGAATCCGAAGTAGGAGGCCCCCAATAATCATCTCCCCCTGATATTAGACCCTAATGTTAAACCACCACCCCCGGATATTCAATATTCACCATTATGGTATATTGTAACATACTGGGAGTATTTTATTCCGGGGGGGCGGCGGGGGTGGGGGGATTTAGTATATAGGGGGAGAGGATTGCGTATGTTATTTTTATGGCCTGCTGAGCAAAATCGTTCTTGGTCCTATGTACACATGATAGATATGTAGGCAGGGATGAGACCATGCACCTCATGCATGAGTCACACTTTTGCTGAAACAAAAAAGTGCCCCATTAAAGGAGACGCGCAAAAAGATTCTGTCCCCCTGCTTCAATCACATCCCGAGCAGTTGCAAGTTTCTGAGACCAATGCTCACGAAGTCTGAGCAGCAACCTATGCATACCTCTGGTAACCCTGACAGCACGTCATCCCAAAGTAAATCTTACGCCCTGTGCCTGAAAGGAAGGGGCTGCGGACAAGAAGTGGATTGACGTGATCTACAACCAGTCCTGCTCCTGCGGCCCCAAGGGAAAGGCGTTAGGTGTTGAGTCCTAGCGCTGGGTACGAGTTAAGATCTAGGAGCCAGGTCCAGATGTTGGTAGGTACATGCATGTGTTTGCGTTCAAAGCCTCTTCAGGGCGGATTGGTGGTCGCAACCCTAAATAGTAGTTGCCATTGTATTTTCCATTATCCCCATATAATCCCAATATGACCGTAACATTACCCCAACATAAGCCTTATATACTATAGTAGTTCCATTCTATTTTCCATTATCCCAATATAGTCCCTATGATCCCCAAATAATCCCCATATGAAGTAGTTCTCATCTTTACGCCGCTCGGGAGGTGGGGCTTCACATGGTAAGTCGGTTGTTCCCCAAAACATGGCAGCCGCGGCTTATGCATGTGAGCTATAGTTTAAACCCCTTAAAGGGGGTTATATAGGGGATTCTATAGGGGATTCTCATAGGGTTTATTAAAGGGGATACTAGGAGTTCAGACTATAGATCATGTGTATCCAGTAGGACAGTTTCCACCTTTCATAAACAGTTCATAACCTTCCTTGTTGGTGCCTTACATCATGTGCTTGGATGTCTACGGTGGCGACTCCGTAGAGTACAGTCTGGCAGGATTTCGGCGCCTGAATTCCTTTGTATTGGCAGGTTGCGGAGCCCTAACAAACACAACATTTTTAAGCATTTGCATTTGTGACTTTTCGGGAGATGAAGTACGAATGTGTGGTTCTCGTTTGGGCGCGGTGTTGTTTTGTTAATTCGTGCCCGAATCCTGGCGCGTCTATTCTGTAGTCTTGCGAAGCCAATTTGGTACATGGCGGCTGCAGTCACTTGCAAGTCAAGCAGGCGCCAGGTCTTTCCATGGAATCAATGCCTTTCCTCGCAGTCTCTGAAACCAGATGTTACATACTTGTGTGAGCTACGTGCCCAGCCTTGTACAGCGGGACCTGCTTTTAGGAAACAGAGAATAGAAAGTTGTACTACTTTAGTCCAGGGCTCATGTAGTCTCCTCCGGCTGCCTGCGCGACATCTCAATAAGCCTTTTAGCCTGGATCCTGCGCGAAATGGAGGGAGGTTCATGAACCCTAAACCCTAAGCTGGTACTTGCAAGAGGAAAGCCGCTGGGATTTGGTCTCGATGTAGCAACTTTGCCCCGGACTTATCAACCCAAAACCTAGAACCTAGCTCTTAGCCACTCCACCATTCTCACAAATCCCTGCGCTTTTAGGGTTGGGGGTTTAAGGTAGCTATGAAACCGTGCATTTTACATGCATTGATTTCTACATATCTCATGGCCATAATCATCCCCAGAATGCCCTAGATATCCCCGGGGGCGCATAAAAAAAAAGTATATCTTTTTCCATGTCTAAATTGTTATCTATGTCTATTTTCAATTATATGCATATATGGAACTCTAAGCCCCGCACGCTAGATGAAAAAGATGTCACTGTTTTTATTGCTTGCCCTCATGACTATGGAGGCCTTGAGCTATTTGTAAGCCGAATAAGAACCAACAAGTTTGATTTCTGTTGGGGTTCTGAGGACCCTAAACCCTAAACCCTATACCCTAAACCCTAAACCCTAAACCGTGGATCGTTTCGACTCCGAGGCTTCGACGCAGACACTGCGGAGACCAAGGTGGTAGAGGCCAGGCCATGTTCGTTTAGTCCGTGGAATTGATAATATTAATAATGACAGTAATGGTAATAATATTAGGTTTAGGGTTCGGGGGTTTAGGGTTCAGGGTTTAGGGGTAGCAATAATAATCGCAATAGTAACAGTAACAGTAACAGTAATAATAGTAATAGTAATAGTAATAGTAATAGTAATAGTAATAGTAATAGTAATATATAGTAAGATTAATAAGAAAGGTCAAGTTTTGGGGGGGTTTCAGGGTGGTCTTGGGTTTTAGCCTGCGCCCTCAACAAGAATTTCAGGCGTCAAAGTGCACGCTTGGAAGTTGTCAGGCTTCTCAGGCTAGAATGGCAGTGAATCAGTACTATGGGGCTTCCCAAAACTAGGGTCCCATGTTGCTACCCTGAAATATTAGGTGCCGTAATAAAACTTATAACCAAAAAAGGGCCCATAATTTTGAGAATAGCCCACTAATTGAAGCAACAATGCCTGTTTTAGAGTGTTTGTCGCGGAGCTTCTAAGCTTCTGAAGCAAAAGCGCGGCTCTGGCAAATGCAATGTCTTTTTCGCACGTGTGATGTTATGAATCGTGGATGTCGCAGTCCCTGGAGTACTTGTAGGTTTTGAGCGGAAACCCACACACTGTTTGCCTGGAACTGCTGGCCCTTGAAGTGCTGATGCGAGTGGATTTTTCAGAAAGAGTGCTTTGCGGGTGTCTCCAACCACAGGATAGAAACCTATGTCACAGATAAGCATATAAGAGTATATCTATGTATATATATATATAGAGTGCATGTTTGTCTGGATGCATGTATACATGCTTGTATTCTTGTGCATTCATGCGTGTAGACCTTCGGAAAACTCCCGTGGTCGTACTGGGGGGCAGTAGGGGATGAGGGAATGTATTATCGAGGCCTTATGTGGGGATTATATTCCCTACTAAGCACCAGTACGTGGTTTCCATTAAGATGGCCGCTTTCTCTGTTCGAACCCATTCCTAGAACGTCTTTCCCTACTTCCGCTTCAGGATGATAGTGCCTATATACGTCCTGCCTCCTGGACCCTAAACCCTAAACCCTAAACGGGTTCAGAGTTTAGGGTTTAGGGTTTAGAGTCGCAGGACACCTATTGGCTGGACATCTCACAAAATGTGAGTATGGCGCTGCTCCACCTGGCCCACCTGGAGACCTGGCAGCTCTTGCAGCGTTTTTTCTGTAACTGCGGAGACACAATCAACAAGAGCCTGCAGAAATCCTTAAGCCCTTAAAAAACCTAAACCCTATATACTCCCATATAACCCTATAACCTTATATAATTCTCCATCAGCCCCTATAAACCCTTATAACCGCTTGTTTGAGTTACTCCAGTGTGGCTTGTTGCTCACTATCAGATTGCTTGAAGCTGTTGCCATGGCTCCAAGCACCGCCCATTTCTCGAAAATTGCCTCCTTTCGGCTACCCCCTTTGGGGTTTAGGGTTTAGGGTTTCAGGTGATAATTGGTTTGAACCCTCAACCCTAGACGGTAACCCCTAAACCCTAAAACCGAAGTTAGCTTGCTTTGCTGAGAGCCAGTTTGAGCAAACACAGGAAGATACTGGATGGATCACTTCAGACACATTGGAAACCTGGCGGCCCTAGAGTTAGGGTTTCAGGGTTAGGGTTTGGGGTTTTGGGGTTTAGGACATGTGGGTTTGGTGTTTAGAGTTTAGCCGAGTGCTCAAGTCCGGGTTGAAAAAGGGTTTAGGGTTTAGCCGAATCAAAGAAGCCCTAAGGGGACTTCATATATGGGGTTGAAGGTCCTTTGGAGAAAGTATTTTTGGACTTCTGTAGGTCTATAAAGGAAATATATAGACGAAATCAACAGGACTTTGGATCAACTACCATATTCCGGGCTAAGCCCTAAACTCTAAACCCTAACTATTGGAAGATCTCCTCAGCTATTTGACAGGGGTTTAGGGTTTAGGGTTTCGGGTTTATGGGCCTCCTTGTATGGGGCGCCCACCCCCCTGTTTGTTCCCTCCTAATATGTTTGGCATTACATTGGAGGTTTTCCATTGCAAGCCTGCGACGGAGATGCATGGCTTTTTCCTAGAAGAGGGCCATCAACATGGACCTTTAGGAGGTACCCCAAACAGGGTCCAGCCGTTTTTCGAGGCTCCCAACGGAAGACCAGTCTGTTGGCATATCGCTGGGTTCCAATCCTCGTACCTCCCATGGACCACTGCTTCGAATGGTAAAGGCTATTCTAGGATTCATCTTGAAGAAGGTAGATCGCGGAGTCACACCCGAAATGAACCTGGGAGCTCGAGAAACCTATCATTTTTGCAGGTCTCTTAGCACCACACTTGTGATTCTTGAAAGCTACCAGGATTGCACCTGTTGAGTCTAGCACCTTTGGACGCCTTGCAACTTTTTTGAAGAGCGCTGAATTTGCATTAGAGACCATCCCCTGTTCCAGTTACTTTTGGGGCGCTCCTCGAAAAACCTGGCGTTTTGTCCGTGTTCGACATCTTTGCTTTAGAGTCAGCTGGAGTGAGGGCACCTGCAGGTAGAAGACCTGGTAAGGTTCACCGGGTTAGATTGTTTGTGTCTTGCAGGCGCATAGTCTTGCAGGTGCATAGTCTTGCAGGCGCCAGGAATAATCCTCTCCCCAAAATAGTTGAACCCACCACCCGGCCGAAAAAGAAAAAGCAAGCCACTACGGTATACTGGGGAATGTTGAATATTAGGGGTGAGGGGTGGGGAGCTTTAATATTGGGGAGGTGGGGGGGGGGGGTATGGGATACAATCCATGCGCCAGCGTTAGTGCGTGCCTGCAACATGGACATTTTGACAGCTTGCAGCCTCCGCAGCTGTTTGAAGTCAAGGTAATAATAACAATAATAATAACAAAAGTTATAGTTATAGTTATTAACAATAATAGCATTACCGTTGACGGAGGAAATCTTGCACCATTGAGAGCCCCTAGACTAACGTATTTCCTGGGAATTTAGGGATGTAAGGTGGTGCAGGATTTCATCCATCAACAGTAGTTATAGCAACAGTAGTAATAATGGTTATGTAGTATTCGTAACAGTAATAGCAAGAGCAATAGTAAGCCTCAGGAGGGACGCAGTCCACCCTGGATGTCCGTTTCGGGCTTCCCAAATCTAGGGTGCCTTCTTGGAGGCGTCTATGATACGTGTGGAAAGCACCATTTAAATCATGTTTCACGTTCTTTGAAGAGTAGCTCTGTGATGCTCCACAAAGGCAACGGATTCAGGGTTTAGGGTGTAAGGAGACGACCCCAACAATGGACAATTAGCTAAAAAAGAATATGGAACATGAAATGGAAGCTGGGCTTATATAGAGGTCTATATGAGCTATAGTCTAAACTCCTTAAAGAGGGTTATATAGGGGATTATACAGGGTACTACTATAGGGGTTATTAACGGGGATACAAGGAGTTTAGACTATAGCTCATATGGGGATATTGTAGTTCCAACGCCTGGCAGCTCTAAGGAGATTTCTATCCAAGCCTTCTTCTTCAACGCGCAGAGTCAGAACTTTGTGTTCTCGCAGGTTGAGGTCACGTTGGAGAATAGCGGGTGCCCTGGATCTGAATTTGCGGCTCCGAGACCAGCACAAGGAGTTGTGAGGGAACTACCGGTCCCTTCCAAGTTTGGGTAGCGCAGCTTCCTACAAGAGCTCTTAGGGTTTTTCACTTGCGGCGGAGCAGTTTCGATTGATAGCGGGTTGGGTGTCCATAAAAGCACCAACGTTTTGACTCGTTTTTCAGGGCTGCTTGCATGACTTTCGCCTGTGGCGCAAAAGCAAGGAGCGTATACCCACTGAACCCCTAAAACTTTCCGCAATTTCTCCGACCCGTCGTCAAAGATGCAGAAGTTCAAAGCAGCGCCGCAACACACAAGAGCGAAAACTTCAACCGCCCCTGAACGTTCAGTAGACCCCAAATCTTAAACCCTAAACCCATAAGCCCTGCAACTTAGGTACGTTCATGGAGACCAAGAGGTCATGATGATTCCTTCGCGCCTTGAGCACAGGAAGAAAGCAAACCCCTTCGCCTGGTGACATAAAGGGGTTTTTGGGGTTTAGGGTCTAGGCCCCCAAATGATGGATAATGGTCCCATCTTTCGGGGTTGGGGGAGAATGCCCTTGTTACTTACTTTGAGTCCGTGTATAACCTGAGTTTCCATTTCATAGTCTATATGCTTTTCCATTTGATTCTCCTGTTTGTGATGGGTTCCACGACTACCCGCGGGGCTTGGGATAATGGTAAAGAACATGGAAGCTACTATTTAGGGTTTAGAAGTCTGAAGTATCAAGCCTCTAAATACATATCACAGTTTCCATTCAATTGTCCATGTTCTTTTCCTTCTGAATCTCCATTGTTATGGGTGGTACCACCCTTAACCCAAGACCCTAGAACCCTAAACACCACAGTTCCCATGTCGCCTTCCCACCTCCGTAAACCCTAAAGCCCAAACACCCATTTGATTCTCCACTATTGGAGTGATATCATTTGTGCCCTAAACCCCAGGCCCTAAGCCCTATACCCTAAACCCCAAGTCCCAAACCTCATTAACGATAGGCCTGGGGTGAAAGAGTACAACGAAAGGGCTTGGGGGTGGAGAGGCCTGGGACGGGATACCCAGGGCGTAGCAGGCTTAGAGACTGGGGTTGTGGTTTGAGAGATTCAGGGTTTAGGACGTATGGTTGGGTTTAGGGTTTTGGGTTTAGCCGGTTCAGGGCTTGGAGTTTAGGGTTTAGGACGTAATGTTTGGAGTGGGTGGGGTGTTGTGGGTGCTGGGTAGAGGACTTACCGAAACAGCAGGGAATTTTCGCTGGCGATCAGGTATATACGGGGTACAGTTTGCTTGCAGTTGCAACTGCTAGTCGTGACTGATCTTCTTCATCGTGCAGGGCACCCCATGCAGTCTAGAGTGCACAAAATGCTGGCACCCAAGCCCGTTGCAAAGGTCATATGCCCCAAGGTCCCATACCCCAATGCCAGAAGCCCAAGCCCGACCTCCCCCCTAAACATGCACCTTAAAATCCTGGGTTGCGGTTAAGGAATTCAGTTTAAGTTACTATATTGGGGGAACCCTATTAGATACTATATATACCTATCACGGTAATTCAATTTAAGCCCCTTAAATCCCTATATTACCCGAGTTTCCATTTCATTTTCATTTTTTTGACTCTCCATTATAGGGGGGCAATATGCCCTTGAACACTAAACCCGCTTAAAACCTAAACCCTAAACCGCAGCAACTAGAATCCCAAGCTAGAAGCCTTGAAGCCAGAATCAGCATGCTTAGGAATGTGTACAGCCACCAGCCCCAGTTCTTGATGTCCAGTACAGCTGCGGATGCTCCTGGGCTGTTCTGATTGTTTAGGGTTTAGGGGTTTAGGGTTTAGGGGTTTAGGGTTTAGGGTTTGGGGGTTTAGGGTTTAGGGTTTAGGGGTTTAGGGTTCAGGGTTTAGTTTTGCTTTGGAGGGCTTTCCTGCAGAGTCGGGGGCTGGCGCACTTGGGACAGTGGAGGTTCTGCAACGGAATCCGGCTGCTTTGGCTTTACTCACTCATTTGTCCGTCTCCAACACCCCAAAACCCTGAAGTGAACCCCCAAAACCTCTAAACCCTGAACCCTAAACCCGAAATCCCTAAACTCCCAAACCCCAAAACCCTTTGACTTCTGAACTCCTGAACCCTACGCCCCTCGCGTATGGTCTGGTTTGAAAGGGCCGCTTGATATGAAGGCTTCCACTTAGCTACTTGTGCTTTAGGTGGGTGGAAAGCAAAAATGAAACAACAATATTGTTTAGGGTTTAGGGGTTTAGTTTTTAGGGTTTAGGATTTGGGGTTTGGGGTGTAGTATTATGTATGGTTCAGGGCTGAGCATGCTAAAGGGGGAGTGAGGGAGCGAGCAGAGCTATGACAACAGGAGTATGCATTGGGATCTTCATAGGTTTAGGGTTTTCATAGGGATCCACTCCCCAACTATGCCTTCAGCACCAGGAAGCTTCACTGAGTGTCATGACTGGTCATCACCCTTGTACTGCCAGAGGTTCTGCACAAGGTCATTCTAAGCCCTCAACCCAAAGCCCCCTCAACTCTTTGGAAGACCCAATGTGCCAGGCAGACGTAAAGTGCTCGAGGTTCAAAAAGCCCAAAACCCCTAAGCCCTAAATCTCAAACGCTGGAAGCCCTCAGCTTCAGCCCCCCCCCCAAGAAAAATCCTACACCTTAAGCCTCAAAGCCAATCCCAGCAATGAGAAAAAAGCCAAGCTCCAAATCCCAAAGAACGCACAGCCACACAAACAAAGCCCCAAACCCGAAACCCCAAAACCTTGACCCCAAAATTCACTGGGGGCAGCAGGGAATAAGGGAGTATAGTACATAGCGAGTATATAGGGATCTTTTTCCCTTATTATTCCCAACGAAGAACACGTTAGCAAAACGACGAAAACCCAAAATGCCAAAATCTTAAAGCCCAAACCCCCAAACCTCAAAGATCCAAGACCCTAAACCCTAAACCATTAACCCAATTCTAGAGCCCTGAGTCTGATCAGGTATTTTCAGGCATTGGTCTCGCTGCGTGCCTCTTTGTGGAGGCTCGCAGCGGGTGGGGTTTAGGAGGTTCGGGGTAAGGGGTTGAGGGATGAGGGCTTAGGGTTTAGGGGGATTTGGGTTTACGGGTTTAGGGTTTAGGGAGTAGGGTTTAAGGTTTAGGGAGGGTCTAGGCTTTGGGGAGGGTTTAGGGTTTAGGGCTTAGAATTCAGGAGAACGGAAAATCAAATGGAAAAGAAATATCAAACGAAGTGGAAACTGGGGGGAGTTTATAGAGGCGCATAGGGAATAGAATAATTACCGTTATTCTAAGTCTAGATCCCTTGTATAGTTATGGTCTAGGATACCTGAAATAGAATGTGTCATAGCTCCCAATACAGTCCGCGCTGTAAGGCCCTGTGACATCACTCTTGGCGCATACAGATTCTAATCCCCACCCCTAATGTGAACTCCTCCAATATTCGTAATATAGACTACTCCCAATACTACAGTGTACCAAAATGGGTATATTGAATATAGCGGGGATGGGCGGTTTCAATAGTTGGGGGGGGGGGTGATGGGGGATTGAACCGAAATTCAAGTTCCACGGATGTTACCGAGTCGAGAATTTGCGCGCTTCTTTGCCTAGTTTGCAAGGGGCAGTTCTCTTTTGAACATTTCAGGTTCCTAGTCACCCTGGACCGTAAACCTTAAACGTAAATCTGCAAGGCTTTATATTGAGTGTAGAGTTGGGGTATCTTAAATAACTTGACATGGCTGATCTTTTGAAATAAACAAACACTATGGAATCCCTTAGGAGGACCCCCCACCCCGTAATAGTGGTAGAATAGAAATATAAGAGGACCCTAATATAATCCCTATTATCCCTTATAGTCACTATTACTGGGTGGGGGGTCCACCTAAGGAATCCCTGGTGCCGCAGCTAGGCCTCGAGAGAGCTTCGGATGCTGATGTGTTTAATCACATGATATTTGTCTGTGATCAGTGATTGTTAACCCTAAACCCTTAACGCTCCTGACCATTAGGCCAACATGGGCCCACCACCTGGGCCACTCCAAGGGGTAGATTGTACCGTTTACGGGAGTTTACTTTCAAAAGCTGCGCCCCACGATCCTCTTTCCCTTACCACCAGGCCCTTTCCCAGAAGACCCAAAAAGAAGAATACCCCTAAACCCTAAACCCTAAACCCTAAACCCTAAACCCTGGGTCGAAATGTGGAGCCGCGGGGGGCCTCACTCGCTCGCAGGTCATCGACGCTTATCACGGACGCCCCTGTGGTTCCACGAAAGTGCTCAGAGCATCCCCCTTATTCCTAAGCCCTTAAACGCTTAAACCCGTACAGCCTAAGCCCTAACCCCCCTAAACCCTAAACCCCCTAAACCGCAAGCCCTAAACCCTCAACCCTAAGCTTTCAATCCTAAACCTTGAGCTGCGTTCAACTGCGAGGCCATGATGTGGCGACAAGCTGCCGCATGGCCTGAGCTAAAGGCATTGGGCTTAGGGTTTTGGAATTTGGGGTTTTTATTGTTGAGAGGGTTTGGCTTTTAGGGTTTCCGGATTCCGGCAAACGAGCAGAGCCCGGATGCAAAAGGGTTTCCGGATTGGGGTTTGGGGTTCAGGGATATGGGGTTTAGGGTTCAGGGCTTAGAGCGGTAAAGTTTGAAACCTCCTACACTTCAAGCAGTTGCAACTTTAGCATAATCGGCATCTTGAGGGAGGCCTGGACGGGACTGATGCTCCTTGACGTCGGTCCTGCCCCCTGCCTGTCCTCCTCCTCCCCATCACGAGGTTCTTGTGTCGGCGCATGTTTCAGCTCCCTAGTATGAATCCCGAGCTCATGTAGGGTGAGGGCATGGAGTACGACGTAGATCCGGCGTAGACCCGAATCCATTGTGCGGTGTTGGCCATTACTTTTCCCGGATGGACCTGCAGTGCCTAGAGCAATCTGCGGGTTTTTGAAAACCAGGGGTACCTTTTTGGGGATCCATAGAAGTTTGTAGTACTGTACTTTGGGGTGTATATTAGGGTCCCCCCTTTCTTAGTGAAACTAGCATTTAGAGCAACGCCTGAAGTCCAGATAGGCGCTCCAAATGTGGACTTTTCTTCTAGGTTCGAGGTCGCTGCTTCATTCCAGGCTAAAGGCGACCAGAGGCAACATGAACCAATGCTCTCCCCTAAACCCCTTAAATCCTGTAGTGCCCCTTAAGTAGCTAGATATGGAGTATATGGGGATCTTATTATAATATACCCAAAGCCATAGTCTATCCCCTTGAACCAGTCCGCAGCACCAACCCAGCACGGCATGCCATTTCGCGAGGTGATAGCCACCTTGCATACAAGTTTGTTGGTAACCCTTTAGCATCTAAACATGATTGAACATCACGTCATTTTGGTGCAAATCCTATAGAATGTTCATCAACTTTTGTGTGGCGTCATACGCCTGAAAATGCTGGGATGCTTCGGAAGGACCCATCCTTGGCGCTTTCTGGGAACTTATAACTCAGCAGAGCCGAGAAGATCCAGATTAGAAACAGGTCGTTTAGGGTTTGAGGTTTAGGGTCTCTCGCATTCATCATTAGGATTACTAGTAGCCTTTTCCTGTTCTTTTTTTTTGTCATGATGGTTTTATTAATGTCTGCAACACAGCTCGAAGAAACCCTGGGAAGCAGTTGACTACAGGCATTTAATTTTATCACAAGAAGAATTCTTAGAAGAATCTTTGAATGATTGGGTTTAACTGCTTCCTACCTTAAATCCTAATCCCTAGGCCTGAAGCCCTGGACCCTAATCCCTGGATGCTAGACCCCAAACCCTAAATCCTGAACCCTAGACGCTAAGCCCTAAGCCCTAGACGCTAAACCCTAAACCCTAAATCCTGAATCCTAGACGCTAAGCCCTAAACCAAGGTGAAGATCATGCAGCTCAGAGCTTTCATGTTCAACATCTATCGGCTGGCTAACCTTTTGAGCTCCTTTGCTTGGGAGATAGGGCTTATGCTTTAGGGTTTAGGGTTTAGGGTTCAGGGTTTAGGGTCTTAGGGTTTTGGGGTTTGAGGCGTTGGGGCTTTAGGGTTTAGCATTTTCGGATTGTGGGGTTGTAGGGCTTTGGAGTTTTTAGGGTTAGGGTGTTAGGGTTTGGGGTTGAAGGTTTTAGGGCTCTGGGCTTTGGGTTTTGGGTTTAGGGCCTGGGGTGTAACGAGCTCATTGTATACAGTATACTGGGTCATTGTTGGAGACTTTTCCGAGCATTTTGTACATTGTAATCCAATAAGGAATGTCAAGTTGTAATTTGAAATAAAGTCCCAGAAAGGATACAGTCATGATGTTAAGTCGTATCCCCAGCATAAGGTTTTGTGTTCCCGGGCCTTGAAGCATTAAGGGTGGAGCATGAATATCTAGTTTCGGGGTTAGGTTGTAGGGGATCTAGCCATAAACTGAAACCATTCACTGTGTGGCAATCCTTGTAGAGCCTTATTGGGATGAACGACAGCCCCCGAAGAAGGCCCATGTAAGCCAGCAATGGGCCCTAAGCAAACTTTTCGGGAAGGGGAGGGGGGGGAGTGGTATCATTCGTTCCCGTAATATTGGAGAGATGTTAGTTATCATCATTAGGGGCTTATGGGGATTCTAGGTTTAGGGTTTAGGATACAAAGGGTTTAGGGTTTAGCGTGCATAGGGGTTGGGTAAGGATTCTACCGCAGTACACGGGGTTCAGGGTTAATAACAGAGATGCAAGGGGAAACGAATATGGACAATGCAACGGAACCGGGGATTATGTAGGGTTCTTCAGTGTGATTGATGTAAAAAGTGAAGAACTGCGAAAAAGATCGGCGTTCGTGTACGAGTCGAGTTTCGATACTTTCCCGAACCCTAACTGTTTGTTTTGTTGTGGTTCCTACATTCGGCTTGCACATAGGGGGTTTCCCAAAGTTGGGGGGCCCGTCTTTGGGGCCAATGATAAACTACCTTCGTAGAATTTACAGTAAGCTCAAAGCTTGCTGCTCATGCACATGAGCTAGCTGGAGACAGCCCGCTGCTTCAAACAGTATTTCGGAGTATGTAAGGGGGACCCCATTTCAGGAAGCCCCCATAGAAACACTTCTGCCAACCTCTTGTTTTGGGAGTTGACCGTACAAACAAGCTAGCGCAAGGGTTGCTCAATAGCAGGTGGGTAGTTATCCAGGCGCTGCAGCCGCTGCAGTTCCAGGTGGTCGCGCGCAAAATTGAAGAAGGCTGGCAGGAGGCAACAGTATGCTGTCGTGTGGTGTCGACGGCAGGCCGCGAGTACGAAGTTCAAGCTAGCAAAGGTGCCAGACAGCAATGGGAGGGGCTGGCCATGCGCGTCTCCTACCAGACGGACTTGCCTCGAGGAGTGGTTCGCCAGCACATGGCGGCCGAGAGGACCGGCATTCGTGCCGGTGTCTTCATCAAGCTGCAGTTCCCCTTGAAGAAGATGGGGCGATCGCAAGAATCGTTTCAGCTGTCGTGTCTTCGGGACGCAGCCCCAGTTCCGCCGGGCGCGTTGGAGCAAGTTGCATCGGATGCCATTGTGAATGTTGCGGGCATCGTGCACTCCGTCGGCTTGCTGCCGCCTGGTTACCTTCAGAGGAGGCGTATATAGACCTCAAATCGCCCCGTTACTCTTAAATTAGCGTTATGCGAACGTTATATGTGTATCCATCTGGTAACTACCCACCTGGGGGGGTCCTGGAAAACAGCAATTGGGAGCCTCTGGAACCCCACCCTCCCAAACAAAAACAGAACACAAGCAGGTCCCCATGTAGAAAGCAGAGTAACTTTGTAAGAGGGAGATTTTTTGAGGTTCAAGGGTAGTTGGGGGGAGGGGAGAACTTTGAACCTATGCAAAGGGGTACAATTTTGAGCATAGCCCTAAAGGGAGCGCATGTCTTTTGCCCTCCATGCAGAATTCGTGGAAGGGGATGCAGGTATCCCCACATGATTTATGTGGTGATTGTGTAGCTGTCAAAACCGTATGCGCCCCCCGCTTGGAACCTCGGCTGATACAACTCCGTGAAATACACTACAGTTCTGGTTTCCAAGCAACAACTTTCAGTTTTGACAGCCCTCCCGGTATGGATGTTATAAACACAGAGGCCTTTTAACAAGCTGTAGTCCTAATTTATGGGGACTCCAAAATAGGGACCGCTGATTGTCGGCAACCTTAAGCACGTAAACCCTTGCTGTATACCCGCATGACTCTGGCCAACTCCCTTAGATAAGCCAACCCCTTATACTCCGTATCCCTTCTTAATGGCTTAGGGTTTAGAGAAACCAACTCTAAAACCCCTTAATCCCTGAACCCTAAACTGTAAACTGAAAAACTCTAAAGCCCCAAACCCTAAACCCCAAGCAAGCTCTCAGCTTTCGTGGGCGGCGTGGGTTACCTCGCCTACTACGCTGTGCTGAGCCATCCCTCCACATGTTTGGGGTTTGGGGCCTAGGGTTTGGGGTTTACGCTTGGGGTTTAAGGTTTGGGGTATCGGGACTACGCTTTAGGATTTGGGGTTTGGGTCTTAGGGTTCAGGGTTCGGGAAATCAGTATGTCTTGTGCTTTAAGTTCCTCATACCCCAGACTGGTACACAGGGGTTTAGGGTTCGGGGTTTAGGGTCTAGCGTTCAGGCTGGTTTTCCAAGCTGCTCCCTGAAGCTACCAGGAGCTTTTGCCTCAGAGGCCTACGCACACGCACATGCACACCCCTTGTTGCTGAGAGCCGCGTGCTTCACTTCAACTCATGTCTTGCATCCTCGTCTCGTGTTCATTCCCAAGGAGAGAAGACATAAGGCCCTTCTTATGACCTCTATTGGCCCTATTGTAGACTGCTACTGGGTGGAGGCAATGCTCAAAAGAAGGAGGTGTTGTCAATTTCCGCGGGGAACTCGTAGCAACTGCCAAGATGTTTTCTGGAAGCTTCCAAGAACACCTAGCGCCTTTTGCATGGAACACTCCAAAAAGTGACCTGAATTTTCTGGCTGTTTCCTGAAGTCTGTAATAATACCCAAGCCCTGAACCCCAACTGTCACCAACTCCGAAACCCTGAACCTTTTGTACCCTCACCACTGACTTGATATGGCTGAGCTCAAGTGAGCTAGACGGGGCATGACGGGAAGCACATGGGGCTATACAGGTTTGGATGAATTATGAGTCCATTCTTTGGGCTTCTGATGATCTATGGCAATTACTGGAGGGGAGTTACCATGTGGGGACTTTACATAAGCTTTATACACCCATTATGTAATTCCCCATGATCCCTATGTAGGCCCCATAAACTTACCCCATGGAAGCTCCCTGCCTGGTGTGCAAAGGTCATCCCCACCGAAATTTACCACCCCTAAATCTCAAGCTCTGTGAGTCGGTCCCGGCCAGTCCAAAAACCCGATGAAAGGCAAATATTGGTGTCACCTTGAACCTCCCAGCAAT